ATTTGTCATTTCGTTTATAACACCTCTAAATATTGGTCATAGACCACATAAAATATATATATATTCATGTTCAGCATAAAATTCTAATTCCATTTAACTATGCCCATCGCTCGGTAGAAATCACGATACAGCCTATATTGTTTGACGTAGAGCTTTAAAAATTTGCATAACAATTTGCATTGTGTCTAGGATGGTTGGTATTGCAAATGAGACACAGGGTGAGAGGAAAAAACTGCAACCAACTTTAGACTGCTGTCATTTCTAAGCCACTCGTCCGACAGCTGTTAAAATTATTCCAGTGACAGCTCAATATATTGTTTACAAGCGTAAAAAGTTAATCGTGATGGACTTTAAGCGTGATAGTGTAATTTCTTTATATTTGGCTGAAAACCCACAAGTGGCTATCGTTAGAGGACTCCAGCATTTAAATGTAAATAAATCTTTTGTGTCTCGTACCATCGCTCGTTACCGTGAAACTGGTAGCTGGACGGAAGAAAACATCAACATCAGCAGAAATGGTTCGAAAAGTTTAGAAGCGACTTGATCGAAACCCGCGTCGCAGTGGCCGAAAAATGGCTCGTGAGCTGAACATATCGCAATATTCCATTCGGCAAATATTGAAAAATGAGCTCGGGGTAAAGCCATTGAAATTCCAAAAAGTGCAAGAACTTACACCGCAACAGAAAGGAAATAGACTCAAAAGAGCTAAAGAGTTCTTTCGCTTGGCCGACAGTGGTGAACTGCCGAATTTGGTTTTCTCCGATGAGAAAACATTCGTTGTCCAGCAATTTGTAAACAAACAAAATGATCGTGTTTACTTGCCAAGCTGCTGAAAATGTGCACCTTCGGTTGGCCACCATGGCGATGGTGTGTGCCGCCATAACAGCCGATGGTCGCTCTCCGCTCGTATTAGTCGACCGTGGTATCAGAATAAATGGTAACGTAGCCCGACGTCAAGGAAGTGGACGGAAGAAAACAGCAAAATCAGCAGAAATGGTTCGAAAAGTAAAGAAGCGACTTGATCGAAACCCGCGTCGTAGTGGCCGAAAAATGGCTCGTGAGCTAAACATATCGCAATATTCCATTCCTCAAATATTGAAAAATGAAATTCCAAAAAGTGCAAGAACTTTCACCGCAACCGCTACACAAAGAAAATAGACTCAAATGACCTAAAGAGTTGCTTCGCTTGGCCGAAAGTGGTGAACTGACGAATTTGGTTTTCTCCAATGAGAAAACATTCGCTGTCTAGCAGTTTGTAAACAAACAAAATGATCGTGTTTACTTGCCAAGCTGCTGAAAATATGCACCTTCGGTTGGCCACCAGAACTCAAATGCCGGTCATGGTGATGGTGTGGGCCGCCATAACAGCCGATGGTCGCTCTCCACCCATTATTAATCGACCGTGGCTTCAGAATAAATGCCGAATATTATCGCGAAAATATTCTGGAGGTTGTATTAAAGCCTTGGGCACGCAAACATTTTGGCCGCAGAACTTGGACATTCCAACAGGACTCAGCACCATCGCACTCAGCACGCGCCACCCAAGAATAGTTACAAAATGAGGTTCCTCGCTCCACAATGACCAGCGCACAATGACCAATAAAAAATTTCGGGATGCCAATCCGTTGGACTATTGTGTCTGAAGTATTTTTAAAAGCAAGGTTGGTACTAAAAAAAACACAAAGTCTCGATCATCTCAAGCAAACGCTTCGCCGAGAATGGGCCAAAATACCGCAGAGCAACATTTGGGCAGCATATGACGTTCTCATTGGCCGTTTGAAGACCATAATTCGTACCAAATGTGACCGACTCGAACAAATCTAAACTTATTCTAAAATTTGATCCTATTTCCGACATTTTTTGCTTTCATTGAAAAAAAAAATGTAAAAATTATGGCGTTTGACTTTGTTGCAGTTTTTTTTTATTTCACCCTGTATGTATCCTTCCGTCCGCCTGCCCATATTAATTTGTAATCATGCTACAAGTCGCAATTATGGACCTATCCTCACGAAATTGAAAATGGCGTTGAGGTTTGGGTCAGAATAGAAGACTATTGTTTTTGGAGATGGTCGGAAAATATTAAGGCGTTAAAATTGACCAAAAACAGAAAAATGAAAAATTTCCCGAGTTTGATGTTGTTCTACAGGCCACAATTATTAACCAATCGACGCATAATTGAGCATGGAGTTAGATTTTGGGGCTGGGCAGGAGCCCACCAATTTGGAGGTCATCGCACCAGATTTAGCGGCCATAACTTTCATTCAAAAAAATACAAAATTGTCTTTCAAAAAAATTGTCCACTAAACTACGAATATTTTTAATCCCGGGAAAATCACAAACGTTTTAAAGAAAATAATGGATCATTTCAACTTTTATTTGAAATAGTAGATTTTTAGGAATTTCTCTCCATGTTCTCCAGCTGACTCTCATTAAAACTTTACCCAAATATTGTTTTTTGTTTATGGCTAATTGGATTTCTGAACTCTTCGTTGAATTTAATTCCAGGAATTCTAAATGTGTTTCCAACTAAATTCCCTTTACATGTATGCATACGTATTTGTGCTGTGACGTAGTTTAAAGAAGTGAGATTTCATTAGATGTCAATAACTTCCGCTTCGCCTATGTTCGTCATTACAAATAGGCAATTTTTGGCTTTTAGCCTATAAAGCCAAAACATCCGAAGGGTAAGTACATCGTACATGCATGCAACATACTCACACCCACTCTCACACTTATGTATTTTAGGTCCTAACAAACATTTGCGATTAGATTACGCACTCACTTTGCTCGCTCCCGAATGAATGAATGAATTTTCGTCACTAATACATATTTCGGAAAAACGGATGTGTGACGTTGTCACTTGGTCTATTTTGAGTTAGATATCGAAATTGCCAAGCTGGTGGATAATAAGAATAATAATAAAGAGGGGAGATGGGTGGCGGAGTCAAATTTTTGTGATGCCACTCTGATTTTTCATTCAATCACTGCTTTTGTGTTTGTCGCCAGCCTAAAAGGTTGTCCATAAAACAATTGACGATATCTGGCTGTTTGTTTTATAGACAGGCAGGCCTACTTGTATGTATGTATGTGTGTGTGTGCGAATGCCGTGGTGTGATTCAATTAAACAGTCACTTTCAATTCAGGCCGATACGACCAAGAGGCAGACACAGACACTAATGGTGATGAACATTAAATCAGCAGACTGAGAAATATTTAATTAACACCGACCGATACCTGTTCATATTTAACATTCGATTAAACCAAAGTGACAAGGAGTAGGGATATCTACGGGTGTGTGTGTATGGGCTATATAATTTCATATGGAATGGTGTCAACCATTTAAGTGCACCAAAAAAAATCAGGGAAACTCATTATTAAGGCGTTAAAGTGATTATAGATAAACTTTAATAGAGTGGTAGGAAAAAAGTTTGCATGTAGGGGGGAAGGTATTGAAATCATTAGCATAATCAATAGATATTTATTTAAGAGGTAAATTTTTTATTAAATTACATTCTTTAAGTGTACATATATTTTAATACAGTCTTAAAACGAATGATAAAATATTATTATAAATCAATAAGAACTTTGTTGGGGCATAAAATATATTGTTAAAAATTACGATATTCTTAAAAATCCTCTGCAAGTGCTAATGGAAATTTGAACAAATATGCCTAAAAAACCATCTTCGTATGGTCCCCACTTGGGTAAAAAATGTTTTTTTTTTTGTCATAGAAGTGATTTTTAAAATAACTTCTGGGGAGAATATCCCAGGCAGAAAACAAGGGAACTGATGGGGATTGGTTGCTCTTTTCGAAACCTAGGTATTCCCTGCCTTACCCCCTGGTAAACATTACCATCTATCTCCACTAATAAACAAACGTTGTCTTTATAAAAACAACAGTAAAGGGATAAAGCCTGACCATTTTGCAACAACAAAATTCATTTTTTTTTTCTAATCGAGAATTTTTAAGAATATTTTCAAAGCCATGTGGAATCCAAATGCTGGATTATTTTACTTTCTTTTTTTTCTTATTTTGAAGTATTTTAGTGTTTTTTTCCTAACCTTGGGTTTCTAAAAATTGTCAATAATTCGATTAAAAAATATAAATTTGTTCAATTGTTCTGCCATAAAAGTGGTGCATATTACGAACCATAAACAGCAAGTTCATTATAAATTTGTTGAAGAAAGTAACTAAAATTATTAAAATACCGAATACTGGAAGATATCGGGAGCTACATAGACATTTCTATGCAAGGTTGTTGCTTACATGCTGTAAACACCTTAAATCTGGCAGTACAATGGAACTAAACCAAAACGTGGACCAACTTGGCTCATTTACAATACTAAAAGTCCTGGCGACATAAAATACATCTGAGTAAAATTTAATCAACCTACTTAATTCTGATCAAAAGCGAATCATTATCTAGAAAATTTAAATTTTCATATTAAAATTAATTTAGGGAATTATCTTAAATTGTCAACATAGCCAATGTAAACGTAGCTAAAGGCATTATAATTTATAGAGATTCGCAAGCAACTTTTCTATTTTCTCTCATATATGTCATGTACCATGACAGAAGAATACAGGTAGATGCATAAACGCTTGGGAGCATTGATATGTCAAAAAAATTTGAATGTTTTTTCAAATATAAGTAGATTTTTATATGTTTTCTTATACAACGTCATTCGGAGGCTTTTATAATTCGCGTTTTTCAACAATTTTTACAAATTTAAATAATTTTTCATTCAACATTTTCAATTCCAAAATTGGTTTGACAGTTCATTGTCCCAACAGCTGTGTCGACGCGTCTACCTATATTCTTCTACCATGTCATGTACTAACTATTTCGTTTAACAGTGGTGTAAACCCTACGAAAATAAACGCATCAACTTTACACCGATAAATGCAATCCACATTGTTAATCGGTTTTCGATTACAGTGAATTATCGATTAGTGCAACATTTTTTTTTTTGGCACTAGACAAGACAAATCAACCATCAGCGGCAGCTGTCATCACTAGCGTAGAAAACACCGACGAGACGCGAGTGAAACATATTTTTGAGTAAACAATTTCTCGTAAAAACTCAAGCCAACACCAACAAAGTTATCAATAACAAAAGCAACAGTAATAAAGTTTATGAAATAAAGTTAACATTAACAAAAAACTAAATCAGAAAAGCTATAAAATAAGTGTCAAATTTCATTGATAAAACTCATTTCGTTGTGGCTTTTTATCGTCTTTGTAAAGAAACATGTAGAAAAAATTGGGAAAATTGCTAGAGTGAGATAGAAATAGATGGACGTTAAGCCAACACACCGGTGTGGAGTGTGTGATTGTGAAAGAGATGCCAATATAGACGTGTGAAGGACGTGTTTTGTGTCGTTTTTGTTTTATTTCTGGTTCGTCTGCTGTGTTTATTTTATTTGCTTTCAAAGAAGAAACAAGAAGTTTCTTCCTTGGTTGAAATTGTGGATGGCGCGTTAAAAGTAAATGACAAAGAAACAAGTTAACATAAATGTAACTACAAAAACAAAAAAATAAATAAAAACAATTTTGTTATGAAAGAAGACTGTGTTAACTTAAAGTAAGGCGCATAGATATACTATGCAAAAATAATAAACAACGTAAAAAAGAAGTTGAAAGATATCAAAAACAACACAAATATTTGCCAAATTAAAAATAAATTGTGTTTGTATTTTGTGCACGCAATATTATTGCCAGTGCTAATAAGGAGATAAAAAGTGATTAAAAAACATTTATCTGGAGCAATAGTTGATTTAAAGGCTTCAAACTGGATAACATTATGGGCAGCTCAGATGATCGCGTTTACGCTGCGGAGCGTATTATACAAAAACGCATTAGAAAGGTAATGTAAACAAATTGAAATAAAGGTGTTTTAAAGAATATAAAATTATAATTTTTGCTTTTAATTTAGTTATGCCAAGTATTGGCTGATGAAAAGTACCTTTCTCAAATATCTACCTTGTAAAATTTCATGACATTTGTTGTCCTTCAGTTTCATAAATGACTTTGGAGTCCTTGTTGCTTCTTTCTGTTTACTGGTTAAAACACCCAAGGCATTGACAACAATAACAACAACAAAATCATCAGCAACACCACCACCACCATCATCATCATCGCCAACCAAACAACCAATTTGCCCTGCCAACTGTAATCCTCTTAACATCTGCTGGCAGCTGTTATTTTTTCCTTGCTTGTTCCTGTTTTGTGTTCATTCACAAAATTGCCCATGAACCGATGGAAGACAGCGACAACATGTAGGTTCTCCACCATGCCTGTATTCCTTCCTTATTTACGCATTACGTTACATGGTGTGTGTGTGTGTGCGTGTTGTCTCGTGCTCGAATTTTGTTGTTATTCTTATTATTGTTGCCTGTATGAAATTATGTTTTCTTCATCGTCATCTGCTATCATTTTAGTCGTTCGTTTTTACCTTTTTTATAATTTTTATATTATTCAAAATTAGTTTATTTTTGCGGTAAAAAATGCAACAATTGTCTTATCACTTTTGGAAATAGAGATAGTTAGTTATATGAAAGTAATGCTATTGCACAGTGGTTCGTTCCATATGAAATTTAGGTTTTGAGAATTTCTTTTTAACCGAACTTGCTGAGAAGGTCTGTACGCCGTTTAGGTTGATAAAGTTACTGTAAATCACTTTTGTTCTCCTGAGCTCAACAAAAAATTGTCTAGAGATTTGTTTTTTTATAGGTAATTAGAATATTTTAATACATGAATGTGTGATTTAGTTTGATGTAAAATATCCCCTATTTCCAATTTTGGTAAACGTCATTAAATAGTATAAAATTCCTATTTTGGTACTTTTATTCTTAAGAAGTTCGCAGCAAGGACAACTGAAAAGCAATATGAAGATATCGTAAAGTAAAATTCTAAGTAGAAAGCTATAGACTAGTCACTAGAAGCATATTGGAATGGTACAGAGTTGTAAGCTAATGTAGAAATTTTAAATCTCTTGAGGTGTTAATCCGATGCACCTATATTCTCAAGATTTAAAGAGATTCTTGATAGTTTTATGGCCATAAGAATATTATCCATGGTGTAGGGGTCATTCTGTACTTTCTTTTTTAAGGCGTAAATCATTTAGTTTTGAATTCAAATTAAATCCCATCCGAAGAAAATGCGGTCATGTTCCTTGTAAAATATTAACACAGAATTATATTCCTTGCAGAGTTTAATGCACCGTTATTTCTTCTTCCCTGGTTATGGAAGTTTGATTTTTGTTATCCATGTCAGATAGCACTAGCTATGGATTTCATGGCGAATATTTTTATATTCTGTAAAAGGGAGAATGAGGGCGCCTCTATAGTCGTTATTTGGTAATGTACCACCTTGGTTGTTCCTGTACCAGCTCGAATTGCTTAGGTCTAATCGGGATCTTTTTCCAACTCCAAGTTCAAAAATATACGACCTGTATGAGCTTGGTACATAACGATACTCTAGTTAGGTGAGAATGCGTAGCTTGACAGGTGTACTGTGAACTACTATAAATTCGGACCCTATTGGTTGCGAATGATCTCTGAGGATCACATACACTCTGTATTTCTTCATAACTTCTGTTTCCGATATAATTTTCTTGATGGTTCTATTGATTGACAGGGTCTCTTATATATCCGTTCCTTTCTCCCTAGATCATGAAGGTCTTTCCTTACAAGCCTGGGGAGAGGTTGCTTGTTCAGTAGATGGTGAATGTTATGAAGTGTTGCATCAGCAAACTCACGTAGATGGTCGATAGGTATCATGAGGATGCACCCTGTTGCAGTTCTAAGTGCGTCATTTTGACGGGACTGAATATTTTTCCATTGCGTAGCACTAACATGGACTGACCCCACCGGCGCCGCATAGTTACCATACACCTAAGACCTTGAGGTAGTTGGTGGCCAACTTGTCGTTGATACTTTAGCAGCTGAACTTACTACGGCAGTTAGATCTATGCTCAGGAACGACGTGGGGTCAATCCGGCCAGAATTTGAAGAAAGGAGCCCTATTTCCACAGGGAAAACGAACCGTGCAGTCACCCTGCTACAGCAACAACAGAGCCAGCGGTGCCATTTTTTTAATCAAGTTGAACTCGGAAAGTTGTTACTAACCAGCGGCATGTGACTAACTTGAAGTGACTAGATTTTAAACACTCTCTAAAGACGGTATGCCTGTCCTTTGCAGAGTTTTCTGCGCCCACTTTTCAATTAGTTATTCATACACGCAAAGTCTCCATACCTGATATAAATTTGGAGGCCTTCTTACTTGTCTTTTAATGGACCTAATTTATTTCTCGTCACCGAACTTCCCACTAACATGTACATACTGGGTTGGCAGCCGCTGGCCGAAACTGGGATCTTGATTGTTTCGGGTCAATCCGGTATCGTAGAACCCGCTGCCGTGGGATTGCTCGACCCCCCATCCATTGCAGCTGAAGAACGTCAGCTGCCTAGACAAAGTTTTGGCGCAATTACGTCCAGGATGGTGTAGTCGTCTCAATTCGTATTGGGCACGAATTGATGAAGATGTGCGTGACGCCTGCCCGGCGTGCGATACAGGCCCGCACAATACGCTACACCTCTTTAATTGCACAGCCAAACCTACCCAACTCACTCCAGAAGATCTCTGGCTACAGCCTGTTAAAGTAGCCGAATTTCTAAACCTGGAGCTGGAACCAGATTAGCAGAACGCAAACACATATATGTACTACTGCTACAACAACAACAACTTCCCACTGCACTATGGCCATTAATCCTACTTTTTAGGGTCAAGCATTCTCGGTTGCGCCATATTTTCGTCCACTATTACCCAAAAGCTGACAAAAATGGAGCACAATGCTAAAGCTAGTGGAAATTTTGCATTTTCAAACTTTAAATCCCGCTCAACTAGTTGTATTGTAAAATATCTTCGAATCTGCCACTCTGAGCCCTAAATCCAGGCTTATGTCTTATCATTGATTTTCCAGTTCATTTTCAATAATTTACTCTTACCAGTGTCTATATTCCAAACATTAAGATTAATATTTTTTATTTATATCCCCATATTAGTATTAGCGTTCTATATCAATTTCACAACTCTAATCCTGTGACCTACGTTTGCCAATTGTGGCTCGGTTATGAAAGTTTTTTGGAGTCGGAATGTGAATCGAGAAAATACAAAATTAATACATTTGAAAAGTACCAGTCAACATTTTACCCCCATTTTATGTATACATCTTAAACTCATTCATTTCATTTTTTAGTTTGAAGAATATCATAATTTCCTCTTATCGATGCGTTGAACATATTTTCCCCGACTGCAAATATTTGCACATTGTAGGGCAACTAATCCCCCCCATGCAACTAATTTGCTAGGTACGAACCTACCCATCAGCAAATAAACCTAAAGAATTTCCTCTTGTCTGTTTAGATAGTGTGTGTGTGTGTGAATGTGTGTTTGTATGCATTTAAGCCGTAGTATGTCCTTGAGCACGCATTGTCTAAACATTTGCTTAAACTGATCCCTATTTTTCTTCTTTAAATTTTCTCACTTTGATCCCAGGCTAGTAGGACGTTTCGTGTTGTTTGTACGATACCTGACAGTGTTTCATTTGAAGTGTACATTTACACAGCTAATGAGTTATTAGTTCTACCTCTATATATTTGCTTGTTATGCCATTTGTGTTGCGTTGTTTTGTGGTACATTTTTGTGTTTTTCGTTATTCATCATACAGCTGTTGTTGTTTTTTTAGTGCCTTATTTTAATAAGCATCCTTATTGTTTGGGCTCGCTGTCGACATTTGTATCTGCTTCTATTTGTTCCCAACCACCAGACACATTTTGTGTGTGCTGCACGAAAGTCTTTAGGTTGGCGACAGAAGAAATTACTTTTTCCAACTTCTGGTGTTCCGCATCATTTGTTTTCCAGCTCCTCCCTACAAACATATCCATCCCTACATCTGTAAATGCTGTAGGCACGTTCTATTTCATCGATGTATAATTTATTTTCTGTTTAAAACATTTGTTTTCCCCGCTGCCGACATTTCATTTTCGTTTTCGAATACGTTTTTATGCTGGCGTATGTTTTTGTTTTATTACCACCTTTCCCTTGAGATGTCCTGTTATCCTGATGTGTGTTTTGCTCAATATTAGTCGCATTGTTTCGATTACATTGGCGCCATTTTCAAAATTCAAATGCTATGTCTTCTTCGAAATTTCTGGAGAATTTATGTGGACTAATGAAGATGTTGCTGAAATGTCTTACCTGCGTAATAATTGTTACAAATTCCTGGTTAATGTAACCCTTATATTTGAAACGTTTCTGTCCTGCAATATATTTGTGGCACACGATACAAAAAAACTATCTGGCAAATAAATTTATAATACAAAATAAAATTGACTTCAAAATGTTAGCTTTTTTAACAATAAGACATAAAAGACTTGAATAATTTATATTGTACTTTCTACAAATTAAATACTTTATTTACTTCATTTAAAAATATACTGTGTTGTAAAGAATACATTCCGTAAGATCTTGTTTTTAGTAAGACTGCTTGATAGACGTATTCATGGATGGAAGACCCCATTAGCCCTTTCATATTAACAAAAATTTTTCCTATAGGATTTCTTTAAACAAAGACCCATTGATTTTCTGTGAATGGACTGAATTCTATGAACAGAAAAAGTAAAAATAATGTTGATAGGTCTTTGGGTAAAAATATCTTCTACAGGTCATTTATAAATAGAAGACTTTGCATGACCATAACTAAGTACCTTCATTAGTCCACGAATGGGGATATAAATGTTAGAATTTCTTTGAATTGACTCTCTTTTATAACATACCTAAATATTCGTCGTAGACCCCATGAAGTATATACAGGGTGAAATGAAAAAACTGCAAAAATGTTGGAAATAGCATCAAATTTTAGAATAAGTTTAGACTTTTTCGAATTGGTCACCTTTGGCACGAATTATGGCCTTCAAACGGCCAATAAAACCGTCACACGCTGCCGAATGTTGCTCTGCGGTATTTTGGCTCATTCCCGGCGAAGCGCTTGCTTGAGGTGATCAACACTGGTATTTTTTAGTGCCAATCTTGGTTTCCAAAATACTCCAGTCCAACGGATTGTGCGATTGTGCGCTGGAAATGAAGCGAGGAATCTCATTTTGTAACAATTCTCCTGTTGGAATGTCCAAGGTTTGCAACCAAAATGTTTGCGTGCCCAAGGCTGTAATACATACTCTAGAACATTTTCGCGATAATATACGGCATTTATTCTGATGCCACGGTCGATTAATACGAGCGGATAGCGAACATCGGCTGTTATGGCGGCCAACACCATCACCATGGCCGGCGCTTGGGTTTTGGTGGCCAACCGAAGGTGCAGATTTCCAGCTGACCTCTTTGGCAAGTAAACACGATCATTTTGTTTGTTTACTCGTCGGAGAAAACCAAATTCGGAAGTTCATCACTTTCCACTTGAATTCCATCACGAATAACTTTTTTCTGCAAAATTCTCACCAAAATGCTTTTGTACGCTTGTAAACAATATAATGAGCTATCACTGGAATAATTTTAACAGCTGTCGGACGAGTGGCTTAGGAATGATAGCAGTCTGAAGTTGGTTGTAGTTTTTTTCATCTCACCCCATGTAGTAGTCCTAGGTGTTAGGATTAGTTTGAGTTGACTTTTTTATAGACCCAAAGGTTTTCTCTTGATCCACACTTCTGTAGGTCTTTATAGACTGAAGCCATAGGCCTTCGACATTCTTTAAGCAGATTATTTTTTTGTGCATATAAGAAAATAAGACTTTCACTATATCCATGAAGGTGCACCAAAGGTCTTTTTTATAAGGAATCTACAATTGGCCTTCTATAAATTCTTCTGTTGGGTCTTCTATAGGGTAGAAACCTATTTTTTTTATAAAGAAAACCTAACATGGTATTTTTTTCTCGTACAAAACAAATAAAATCTTTAAAATATTGCCTATCATTTTCTAAATCGTCATAGAAACAAATTCACAATTTTTCTCTTAATTCCAGGGCGTTGTGGAATATCGTGTAAAATGGAAAGGTTGGAATCAACGCTACAACACATGGGAACCCGAGGTAAATATACTTGATCGCAGGCTCATTGAAATCTATGAACAGGGCAACAAGTCGTCAAATACACCCTCCAAACGGGGTCCCAAAAAGAAGGAAAAAGAACGTGACCCTGAACCAGAATCTGAAGAGGATGAATACACGTTCAATGATGATGATGGTCACAGCAACAGTCATGTGGGAGCATCATCAACGGGCCCGGCAAACTCCTCAGTGTCACAATCGATATCGGCCAGTTCAGCTTCACCATCAACATCTGCCTCAAATGATGCCACTCAACAGCAGCAACATCATCGCCATCACCATCACGAAAAGGACAAGGAAAAAGATAAAGAGAAAAAACATCATCATCATCACCACCATCATCACCACAAGGCGGAACGTTCTAATAGCCGGCGGTCAGAATCACCTCATACCCATGCGGAAAATAAACGACAGAAATCCGTTGAACATGCCGTTACAAATAGCACAAATTCCTCCTTGGCCTTTATACCAGAAGCTGATTCCAACTCGTCCAGCTCAGAGGACCAGCCATTAAGCCGAAAAGAAGTTGCGGGCACAAAGCGTAAGGCTGAAGTATTAAAAGAGTCGGGTAAAATTGGTGTTACAATTAAAACTTCGCCAGATGGTCCACCCCCTGCCAAGATCCATTGCTCAGTTGATACCGCAACACCGATTTCCACACCATTGAAGGCAGAAACTGAACCCCTCTCACCGGAAACACCAGCCTCAAGGCCTGAACAGGCAACCCCCTCAGAAAAACCTCAGCAGTATAATGGACATCAACAACAGCAGCAGCATCATCACCAGCAGCAAGATGATGATGACGATGAATCCTCATCACAGGCTGACAGTCAACATGAAGCGGAAAACAATCATCTGCCTTTGATTAACAACAACATTAATTCCAACAACCATAATCATCAGCAGCAACAGCAAAACCACCAGCACCAACATCGTCAGCAACAATTAGATGCAATTTTTGAAAACTCCCCTCCCAAACAAAAGTCAACCCCACTAACACCATTGTCGCCGCCAGCGTTACCACCACGCTTTTGGCTACCCAGCAAATGTAACATTTCCAATAAAGTTGTTATCACCGATGTGACAGTGAATTATGAGACGGTCACCATAAGAGAATGTAAAACTGAGAGAGGCTTTTTTCGTGAAAGAGATATGAAATCAAGTGATTCGGTAGCCTAATTGAATACCCTCACCTCCCTCCCCCTCGGAACCCAGAGCCAAATAAAACAGCGCTAGATGAAGATTGAAATGAAATTCACCAAGTAAAGGGATAAAGAAAACTTCCTATGAGGCACTCCATGAGACTAAAAAAACGTAACTGAATGTAAAGCAGGACTTTAAGTCAAGATTTGCTACAAACATATATCTACATATATTTTTATATACAAAAACAAACAAACAAAGAAACCCATACGAAAGAATGCTAAAAGGAACACACTATTTATTTTTCTATAAGCAAATTTTGACCCGAAAAGGGAGACATTTAATGGCGTTTTTCCCGAGAGTAATACACAACAAGCTAAAAGAAAAGAAGAAAAACATAAAACAATATAATGTAGTATTTGTTGCTTACTTAGATTGTATATAAATATTAAAAAGAAAAAATGGAAAACATAAATAATGTAGTAGTATCTATATTATGACGGAATTATTTACAAATTAAATATTTATGCAAAGAGAATACATTTAAACACAATAATATAGAATGAGAAATTTACGTACGCGTGGTATATATTATTGTCATGATATATTTTCTTTTGGATTGTAGTGCTTGATGAGATATTCAATACTAAAAGAAAACACTCAATACAAATTTGTAGAATATTTTTTAAAAATGATAGAATACCTTGTGCAAAAGAAATTGTAGAATTTCTGTTCCTCAAAATCAATTTTTTCTCGACAACATCAAAGAAAAGATTGCTGGACGATCAGGAGGTTTATCAGGCCGAAGGTCGGCTGATTTAATGGTAGCTGATGAAAAATATATCTTGGATACATTTTATTAGTCATTCTTACATGGTAGCCTTTATTTCTTACTTGGGTATCTAAGAGAGTAGTCGCTTTTAATGTGAAAACCTTCACAAAGGAATAAAGTCTCGGATTTATCTACTTCCGACAGTCACAAATTCAAAGTATCGCAATTTTTCAACTCAGCCATTAAACGTTGACCCAACAAATGTCTCATTTTCCGAGTTTAGCACAGTATTAATTTGGTCTAAAAGTTACAACTAGAAGGTTACCATGAGTACTTTTAGAAATAACCTTTCTGATTTGTTACACCAAATCTTTAAGTACTATTTGACGTTGTTGAAAAAAAAATGATTTTTCAAACATTCAAACTGAAGCCATTTAACTTAGAAACTTAATTTTATGCCAAATGGAACAAAATTTCCATATTTTAATTGAAGAAAAAATCGGATTATTCCGGGAAGATATGGGAACAATTCGTGAAATTTTTCCTTGTTTTTTTTTCTATAAAATTTTCTGAATCTCCAATGAGATTCACTCACAAAAGTTCCAAAATTTTGAAATCAAACGGAACTATGCATAATTTAAGGACTTGTTTTTCTATGAGGATATGAATTTAATTGCAGAAGAAAAACACCATTCCACATGAGTTTTGATGGAATTTTCTATTTTTGGCAGCCAAATTTAAATGTAATTAAGACCAATTTCCACATTCAATACCGAAAACATTTTAATCGAAATGAATTTGGGAATTTTGAGCTGAGGAAAATTTAATTTTTTGTTAAAGGAACTGGGGGTTAATCCAAACATTTGATATTTGGTTGTTTCTACCGAAATTTTCAATTTAATCGAGCTAACATTTACAGTGTGAGATAAAAAAACTGCAACAAAATCAAATGCCTAAATTTTACATTTTTTTTTTAATTTTATTGACTGAAAGCAAAAAATGTCGGAAATAACATCAAATTTTAGAATAAATTTAGATTTGTTCGAATTGGTCACCTTTGGCACGAATTATGGGCTTACGGCCAATGAAACCGTCACACGCTGCCCGAATGCTGCTCTGCGGTATTTTGGTCCATTCCCGGCGAAGCACTTGCTTGAGGTGATCGACACTTTTGTATTTTTTAGCTCCAAACTTGCTTTCCAGAATACTCGAGACACAATGGTCCAACGGATTGGTATTCCGGCATTTATTCTGATGCCACGGTCGATTAATACGATAATTTTGTTTGTTTACTGGAAATTTCTCACCAAAATGCTTTTGTACGCTTGTAAACAATATATTGAGCTGTCACTGGAATAATTTTAACAGCTGTCGGACGAGTGGCTCAGAAATGACAGCAGTCTGAAATTGGTTGCAATTTTTTATCTCATCTTGTACATATTCGAATTCCTTCCGGTTCGAATTTTTTCGATATTGAATACGAGAATTTAGTTTCTTTTTTTCAATCGTTCAACTTAACCGAAACGTATTGCCTATACAATTACAACTTTTGTTCCATTTGCCATAGCATGAATCCTATACAGCTTAGAGATTTGCACAGGAAGTTGTTTACTTTATTATTTCAAATATTTATTACAAAATTTATTTAAGAGAAAAATATTTAATTTCGTATATTATAATATAAATTTCCCAAAACAACACTATATCTCATTTATATGACAACTTGTAAATATATTCATTAAAAAGCTAATACATAAAAATACGTATCTCTTTTGAATTTGTATGGCAGCTATGAGTTGCCATATTTATTTAGACATTCTTCGATAATTTCGTAATAATATACAAACAAATGAAAAACCCTAAAGATATTGATTAGAAGCCCATTTTTCTTAATAATACAACAAAAAGAAGAAAAAAAAAACGGCACAAAAATCATTTGTTTTTAAATTGAACCAAAAATTATTTCTTAAAATCAATCTACAAAAATAAATACTTAAATAAAATACAAAATTTAAATTTATTATTATTAATAATTTAGATGCAGAGTGAAAAATAATTATTTTAGCTACATTTATTCATTGGAGATTATTTTAGTGCATTCATAGCATGTCTACAAGAAACGCAAATTACATTTACAAAACCCCAAAATTTGTAAATTTTATCTATATTTAAAACTAAGACAAGTAACAAATGCCTTATTTCATGTTTTAACTAATCTGCTGATAAATTTTTAAATATTTGTTTCTTATATTGTTTGCCTAGAGGCAGTATATAGAATATTGAACTTCTAAAAGCATAACTGAAAAGAATTAGAAACAGCCAAAAAACAAACTGTCACAATAATAATAAATAAATGAAATCCATTTAAAACTTAAACATATGTATGTATAAATGTATGTATATGGCATTGTTTAAAAGCATATGGAGTCTACCAATATAGGTAGATTCGCGTAGAAAGTATTGAAATCGTTCAAAACAAAACAGTTGGCCATTCAAAGCTTGAAACACGTAACATTTAATTTACAAGGGTTTTGAAAATATGGCATTGTGATGATTAGCATAAGGGCGTTGAAGGGAAGAATACCCTTAGGACGATTTAATAATTTTTCTTATCAATTTTACGAATCGACGAATCACAATTTCAAATCGGTCGCACAACGTTTGATAAGCTTTTCAAAAATTCACATTTTATTTTTTTCCGACCATGTGATATCCTACAACACTACAATATAAGCCCCCTTATGTCTAAATCCAAATTGGAACATTTCGCTTTTGAAATTATGTCAAAGAGCCCTGTCCCGATGTTATCCTTAGCATTTTGATCAGGGAAATTTGCCCAATATTTACGCACTCCGTCGTGCTGTAAGTTGTTGTGGTCCATTTTACAGCTAAATATAATCCAATGGTCATCCAAAATGCTAGAATACTTCCCTGTCCTTAACTCTCTTTCCAGGCGTGTCGATTGGCTTCAATTGTGTGATCAGGATTTTTTTTGTTTTTGGTTCATCTACAAAAGCAAGAGGTCCCTCTGTATCTCCATATTTAGACTCATTTATGTGATTTGCTGTCTACGATATTTGGCAATATTCGTCAACGAAATCAGCATAAAAAGCCAGAAGTTTGCCTTTATGTGTATTTTGGATATCGCCTGTAAGTTCTTTTCGGCGTTTCGGTAGAATGGAAATGTTGGTATTTTTTTCACACAATTTTACCCGCTGTCCTAAACTTTGTTTCTGTTGTTGGTCTAAGTTGTTGGTCCATTTCAACCTCTAAATATATTGCGGACATTTTTGAAAACAATAGGCCTATCCTTACCCTTGTGAAAATTTTCGTGATAATTGGACGAAAATTGTAATCTGTATATAATAACCTCAACCGGTGTTGTAAAGTGCCAAGAGGGCATTCTGAATTGACAAAATTTTTCAAAATCAGTCCAGCCATTCTAATATTTGCTCTGTTCCAGAACCTGCAATAATCTACTAGTTTTGAAAATTTTTCGATATCACAAAGGACAAATCGGTTGTAGTAGTAAGAACATTCTTGTCAGACCAATTGTCATTGGTGCAAATGTATTTTCAATAAATTTAGTGTAATTGAGTCTTGGAGAATATGAACCCTCCCTTCGGACAATTTTTTTGGTTTAGGCTTTGGCGTTTAAGTGTTAGTCTCTAATTCTTGGTATTATAAAGGTCCCAGTCTCATTTTTTTCCAAATGAATTACAAATGATCTGTTCCAGTACCTGTAAGAATCTACTATTTTTGCAATTTTCTTCGATATCATAGAGGGAAAATCGGTTATCGTAGTATGAACTTTTACATTCTCGCAGTTCTGGAACAGACCAAATTTTGTTTTTTAGGCTCGTAAGGGGAAAAATAATTTTAGAACTTTAAATTCTTTGGGCAAACCGAATTTGCAATAATTTGAAATTTCGAAATTTCAATTTTGGTGGGTAGATATACTTTTGGAGGTAGGGATCATTTTAGCACCAGTTTTGCAAAATTTGGCATTAGTGAATGGATGTTCTATTAATAGTAGACCTATGAATGTTTTTTTTTCATATAGAATTCTAATAACCCAATCACTGCGACGGCTCCAAACGGTACTATTTTTAGCCATATCTACTAATAATCTGCAGGCCAAAATTGGTGGGTGTGTAATGGTTAATTAAAATCGAAAATAAATTTTTACCGTAGTATGGAAGTTGTATTCATTTTTGATTTTTACTCTGTAATCGGTCATGTGGAACACCATAAAGTATATATTGTTAATCGAAACAAAATTCTAAGACGATCTCGCATTGACCGTCTGTTGTAATGAGTTTCCGTAGGAAATGAGGTATGGAAATTTTTTTCAAGGTACCTTCCAATATTAGTTTTTTTGACTACTTAGGAAAGATTTTCAACGGAGTTATTTGAAAATTGTTATCTGCAATTCGTAATGAGTGCCTTCTTTTTCATTTTCGTACACCTCCAATACAACAGCGCTCCCGACATTTGGTATTTTGCAAATTTTTTGCTACCTATTCCAACGAAATTGTGTGGCAGTAGGTATCATTACGCCTGGTAGAAAATTGTCCATATAGTTCAATGTTTTGCTGTATCGCTCCCGATTTTAGTTGTTTTTTCCGAACAAATTACAATGAAATTGAAAATTTGGTATTTAAAGTTCATAGTGGGTTCCAACATCTCTGAAAACTTTTCAAATGTCCATGCTATTATGGAATATTAGATATTTGGATGTCATAACGCTATTTTTAAGTGAAATTATTTGAATTTTAATATTTGATGTTCATGATGAGCGTACAAGCGTATTGACATTTAGGATTGTTATTAAGCAAGAGGTTATGTTGCTGTAATTTAAATCGAATCGAGGGGGAAAGTATTTGATGATCCCCTTAAAATAGTTAGGTTAATGAAAAACATTTCTAAAGTAAAAATTTATTCTTTCGTTGCTAATATTCAATAATCTCAATAACAATCAACTTAAAAGAAAATTCTATTTTTTAGAATGTCCATTGCAAATTTTATTGTACAGACCAACGTTTTCTTCGTAGAAACCAAATATTTCTAACCCTCATTGAAAGCCTCAATTTTCTTTAAAAAGACTGGTTGTTTGTTTTCTGAAATAGCAATTTGAAGTCTTGAATTGTCTAACAGGGCTTTTCTTGATGATTTAAAATTCATGTTTACCTTAAGAAATAGAAATCCTTCAGGCTTAGGTTTTGTTTTGTAATTTGCGTTTTATGTAGTTTTGATTTTGAAAACCAAAAGCTTAATCAATGCTTTTTTTTAGAACACAACAATAATTAATTAAACCTATGCTAAAGCAATATATTAAGGTGTCTTATTTAAACTGAAAAATCATAAATGTTCTAATTTAAAACAAAAGGACAAATCATTTTCAAAGAGTTTTAAGAAGCACCTTAGCATATAATAAATGATATAAAAAAAAACTAAAAAAACAATCTTGTATCAAAACAAGAAATGAGCTACAATTGTTGATTTAAAAAATAACACACATTACACAAAGCTCTATATACACCAAATAAATAATTATAAATAAAAACATTAATTGTTAATACTCTAAATTTTAACGTGAATATTCTTACGATATTCACTAGTGGGATTCTCTAATTAATTTTTTAATTACCGACAAAAATCGTCAAAAATCCAAGTTTTGTGTTTCAAAGTTACCGATTTTTGTCGGTAACTGAAAAAAATTAGTTGGAGAATCCCACTATCGAGAGAAATCCACTACAGGTATGTGATGATGAGCGAATTGATACTTTTACAAAAAAAAAAAAAAAAAAAAAAAACAATTTCAAAGGAGTTTTTGTTATATTTTAGATGTTTTGAGTTATTTTTAAAATTTTAAAACAGCGTCCCTGGAATAGTGTTTTTCTTCGTATTCATCATACAAAAACATGCCCTCAATATCAGTTGAAATAAAAGGGTTTCCAAATTTGATCTGAAATAAATCGACTTGTGAATGAAACGAGACATTTTTTTCCACCCCATACCTAATGTGTTCCCTATTTGGAAATTTTTTGTATTTAATATGCAGGGTGAGATAAAAAAACTGCAACAAAATCAAACGCCATTATTTTTTATTTTTTTTTTAAATTTTATTGAATGAAAGCATGAAAGCAAATGTCGGAAATAGCATCAAATTTTAGAATAAATTTAGATTTGTTCGAATTGGTCACCTTTGGCACGAGTTATGGAAACCGTTACACGCTGCCGAAAGGTTGCTCTGCGGTATTTTGGCCCATTCCCGGCGAAGCGCTTGGTTGAGGTGATCGACACTTTGGTATTTTTTAGCGCCAACCTTGCTTTTCAAAATGTTCCAGACACAATAGTTCAACGGATTGGTATCTGGAGTTTTTGATGGCCATTGTGCGCTGGAAATGAAGCGAGGAACCTCATTTTGTATCGTGCTGAGTCCTGTTGGAACGTCCAAGGTCTGCGGCCAAAATGTTTGCGTACCCAAGGCTTAAATACACCCTCCAAAATAATTTCGCAATAATATTCGGCATTCTGATGCCACGGTCGATTAATACGAGCGAAGAGCGACCATCGGCTGTTATGGCGGCCCACACAATCACAATGGCCGGCGCTTGAGTTCTGGTGGCCAACCGAAGGTGCACATTTTCAGCTGACCTCTTTGGCAAGTAAACACGATCATTTGGTTTGTTTTCAAACAGGTGGACAACGAATGTTTTCTCGTCGGAGAAAACCAAATTCGGCAGTTCACCTCTTTCGGCCAAGCGAAGCAAATCTTTAGCTCAATGGCTATACCCTGAGTTCATTTTTAAAAATTTGCCGAATGGAATATTGCGATATGTTCAGCTCACGAGCGATTTTTCGGACTTCGATCAAGTCGCTTCTTTACTTTTCGAACCATTTCTGCTGATGTTGCTGTTTTTTTTTCGTCCACTTCCTTGGCGTCGGGCTACGCTACCAGTATCACGGTAACGAGCGACGGCACGAGACACAAAGCTCTAACGATAGCCACTTGTGGGTTTCCAGCCAAATATAAAGAAATCACACTATCACACTTGAATTCCATCACGAATAAATTTTTTCCCGGAAAATTCTCACCAAAATGCTTTTGTACTCTTGTAAACAATAAACAATGAGCTGTCACTGGAATCATTTTAAACAGCTGTCGGACGAGTGGCTTAGAAATGACAGCAGTCTGAAGTTGGTTGTAGTTGTTTTCATCTCACCCTGTATATAATAAATAATTACAAGTATATATAAAAATCCAATGTTTGATAAGAATATTCACGTTAAATTTACAAATGAAATCTACTTATCAGTTTTAATTACAAATATCTCAAATGGAAACAAAACGTCAGCATATTACTACAAATGAAACTACAATGAATTTTGCAAATAATTGTGTCAAAATTAAGTACTATATATTGAACAAAAAGATAAAAATCACAATGAAAAACATTCCTTTGAACCACCCTGGGAATCTTCATATTTATTGATTATTATTACATTATTAATTAAGCAATGAACTATAATTATATATATTTACATCATAATCTCAAACAAGGAAATACACAAAACAATCGTTCATCAAATAAAAAAAAAACACCAATTTAAAAATTGTAACGAAAATAATACAAAGAAAACAAAAACGTATCCTATTGTCTGTCTGTCGTAAATTACAAGGAAAATCGTTTAAGAGGCATACATACATACATGAAAAAAAATCCCATTTTACATACCTGCTGCTTAATTGTTAAACATTGATTAATGTTTATTATTATTAGAATTATTAAGATTGTTGTAAATAGTTTATTTATAATTATATTATATATTATACATTTAACAATAAAGAAAACTCCCACAATTATAACGAGAAGAATTAAAAGAAATATATTTCATTCTCTGAAATAAAACCAAAAAACTTTAGAATTTGTTAAAGTATTTAAATTTAGGTTTTGTAAGCTTGGCGATATTTGCTTTTTTTTACTTTTACAGGAAATTTGAAGCAATTCAATTTCAAAGCTTCACATTATTCAAAAAAATTGAGATTCAAGACTCAGCCATATAGCTAGAAAGGGATGGGGTATATATCATTTAATACGGCCAAAACCTGCCTCACCGAAATAATGGTTTAGTGGATCAAATTCGCTTCAGGACATTTGGAGTCGATCTTGCGATGTCCGTCCGTCTGTCTGGCTAGCTGGTGTGCACGATAACTCCCGATGGGAAAATCCGATTTGGTCCAAACTTGATACATTTTAATATTATTATCAAACTTAGATCGAGTTCGGAGATGGACAACATCGGTCCACTCCTTCTGGTACATCACCCACAAAAGGTCGAAATTTTCGAAAAAAAAAAAATTACTGCACAGAAAGAGATTGCATAATTCGAGCTTGCTACATCCTTGCAAATCCTTATATTTGCATCAATTCTAGATCAGGTGCGAAAATGGAAAATATCGGTCCACGCCATCAAGTACCTCCCCCACAAAGGGTCAATCAATCCCACGGCAGCGGGTTCTACGATACCGGATTGACCCGAAACAACAAGATTCCAGTTTCGGCCAGCGGCTGCCAACCCAGTATATACATGTTTGTGTTTGTTTATTTTTCTGCATTGGGAGCAGCATATCCCGGAATGCTTGCTCCGGATTTTATTGGTCCGTGCCGGGATTGAGGAAAACCCCGGACCTTGGTTCTGCTCGGTTTGTCAGAACGTCATCCACCACAGATCTGTCTCGGTGCGATGTAATGGATGCAGAGAGTGGGTGCACTTCAAGAACTGTTCCGGATTAAGGCGTTTGCGAGACTACAGCGAAAGGGATTATGTTGCGACTTGCTGCAGTAACGTAGTCCCCAGCGAGTCCTCTTCTTCGTCGTCCTCGTCAGAGACGTCGTCGGAGTATGGCACTCCACCGCAGTCTCCAGAACAGCAACCAACACCGCAGCACCTAACGCCACATGTTGCTGTTCCAACTCCGGATTGTGCATCATTCTTGCAATTCAATTGCAACGGACTTCGAGGCAAAATAGATGAGATAGTGGAATTTATGAGTCGGAGGAATATTAAGATCGCAGCGGTGCAGGAAACCAAGCTGAATGAAAATTGCAGCCTACAACGTTGTTATGGTTACAACGTACTAAGGAAGGATCGCACCAGAAGTGGAGGTGGGGGATTAGCGTTCCTGTTACACCATTCTGTTCAGTACAGACCTATCTCGCTTGAGCTAGTCTCTAGTGACCCATACATGGAATGTATGGGGGTAGCAGTCAAGTGTGGAACTGCCGAGGTAGAGGTGCTTAATGTGTATATCCCGCCGATTAATAGCTGTGAACCGCGTTATTTGCCTGATATTAGCCCATTATTGGTAGGCAATAACCGCCTGGTACTAGGGGATTTTAATGCCCACCATGAGTTGTGGCATTCCGTCCTAGGTAATGACCAGAGGGGATCAGCGCTGGCAGAGCAGATTGACTGCTCCACATTTTGCACGGTTAACGAGGATGCCCCCACCCGAATAAGAGGAGAGTGTCACAGTTCGCCAGACTTAACCATAGTGTCACCCGGTCTGATAAATGACGTGACTTGGCAACCCGTCATTTCTCTTGGCTCAGACCATCTCCCGATAATCGTCTCCATAAGCAGGTCGCCCGATTTCATAACCTCTGAACGCCGCACTTTCCTTAACCATGGGAAAGCTCACTGGCCAGAGTTCAGAGAATTCACCAACCGCCGCTTCAGAGAACTGCCCAACCCTTCTGATGTTCGGGTAGCAGAAAGGATTTTCCGAAACATCATCAGAGCTGCAGCCGCTCGCTATATACCTGCTGGTCGAATACCCGAGATAAGACCAAACTTCCCAGCAGAGGCAGCGGGATTAGCAAACGAGCGTGATGATCTCCGTCGTACCAACCCTACTGATCCTAGAATCAGTGATTTGACAGTTGAAGTCAACCGGTTGGTACAGGAGCATAAGAGGAAAAAGTGGCTAGACCATCTGAAGTGCTGCAACATTGGAACCGATATGAGTAAGCTGTGGGTAACGGTTAAGTCGCTCTCGAACCCTGGAAAAAAGGATGATAGGACCTCAGTCACTTTTAACGACGTAACGGTGACTGATCCGAAGAGGTGCGCGGAATATTTTAACCGACAATTTGTCGAGCACCCCGAGAGTGATAGGGCGAAGCGAAGAGTACTACGTCGTATCAGATCTCTTCCCGCCGAGGAGGAACCACCACAGTTTACGATGGGTGATGTTGCAAATGTCATCCGTAACGCTAAGTCATCCAAAGCGTTGGGCCCGGACGGAATCTCAATGGTAATGTTGAAGCAGCTGGATACGCCGGGAGTCGAGTACTTAACAAAAGTTCTCAATTTGTCGCTAGCCACCCACATAGTGCCCGAAACCTGGAAAATGGGCCGGGTGGTCCCGCTACTGAAGCCAGGCAAGGATGCCAGTAAAGGCGAATCGTACAGGCCGATTTCGCTTTTGTCGCCAGTAGCAAAGACTCTTGAGGCTTTACTCCTCCCCAGCATTAGAGGAAGCTATGCAGTTGCCAACCACCAGCATGGATTCCGTCCACAACATAGTACCACAACAGCATTACACGCCATTTCCACACATATTAGTAGAGGACTAAACCAGAACAGGCCGTGTGACAGAACAGTGTTGGTAGCCCTTGACCTATCAAAGGCATTTGATACGGTCAATCATGCCACACTGTTTGAGGACGTACAGAGAACTACCCTCCGGCCAA